AATTCAGATGCTACAGGATGCAGCTGTTTGTTCTTCCTCTGGCAGCTAGGCTACATCCATCCTACATACAATGATCTTAGAGCGTTGGATAAAGTCTAGCTGCATTTAATGCTCTAAGATTTACCAATTTTCATTCATAGAATTGGTAAAGCTTAGTTTAATTTTTAGTATGATCAGACACAATTGGTTTTTCACTCCACAGAGTGTTACCTTTCACTCTACAGTGTGTTACCTTTGCTTTAGCTGACCGGTGCTTGCAAGAGAAAAAGAGGATGGAAATTTGTGTGCAACTGTTGAAACATTTCAGAGATGAATCACTTTAACAAAGAATAAGCAGAGCTTTCTTCAATGATCAGTTCCCTCTCAAAGTTATCTGACTTTTCTTAGGATTCCTTTTTTTTTTTTTTTTATCTTTGTATGACCTTTTATAAATAGTATGGTATAACCTTTATTAATGGTATATGTGTGGTATAACCAGGTTGGTATAACCTTTATAAATGGTATATAAATGGTATAACCTTTGGTATTTTTTTACTTTGGTTTACAATGGCATATAAATGTTACAATGGTATATAAATTGGTTTACAATGGTATATAAATGGTATAACCTTATAAATAGTATAACCTTGTAAATGATAAATAACTTATATAAATGGTATGGTATAACCTTGGTATAAACTTTAACCATCTTGGTATAACCCAGTTCCTCTCAAAGTTATCTGACTTTTCTTAGGATTCCTTTTTTTTTTTTTTATTCATCTTGGTATAACCAAAAACAATATTTTCTCATGGTATTCTCATGATATTCTCTCATGGAAAAAAGAAGACCTGTCAAGTTGGAGAAAAGTTTTCAAAACAGTTCTAATTTATGTCTTGCTTCATGGTGTACACCAGGTTTAAGAAATTTATGTCTAGTGTGCATCAAATAGCAGTAGTCAGTGACAGGGCTTAAAAACCCATTAAATTAGTGCAGGATTTTATAGGCAAAATACATTTGAAAGATCAGCTTCAAGATACAAAGATAGTAGTTTTAGACAACTGGCAGAAGGTGTCTAAACATGCCACCAAATATATTTTTCACTTTGTTTTTGAAAAAAATATCTTCCAACAAAAACAAAGTAATTTTTTCAATCCTCTATTACGATTTATAATCCATAACTTCTTTATAAACATTTTAAAAACATTTGAAAACAATGCAATTGTAATTAAAAATGTAAAAATTATAAAAATTTATCAAAATTACAGTAAATAAGTAAAATAATCAAGAGTTTCAATCATGTGTAAAAATAATTTCATCGTAATTTATATGAACTTATTTTTTAAAACAAATCAATGACTCAGAGACCAGATATTTTTATGGTGAGCTACTGAGACCTAATAAGGATTTCCATAATTCACATAGTTGCTTTTAAATTTAAAAAAAAATTATGTTATACCCTAATATATATAAATATATATGTGTGTATATAAATATCATCATGATCATTGATCATTATTACAATAATCGTCACAATCATCATCATCATCATCATCATCATCATCATCATCATCATCATCATCATCATCATCATCATCATCGCTTTACCATCTCCCCTCCCCCTTTATGCTGTTTCTCTAATATAAACATAAATATAAACAATTTTGAGCAACTTTTCTCGGCAAATACTATGCCTTATAAATAAGGGAGAGTGGTTGAAATTGAAAAACTTGCATTTATTTTTGAAACAAAATGTCTCAGCTATATTTTGCATTTTTCTAGTAAAATGTCTCATTTAAATGTTTTGAGAAATTTAAATGTTTTGAGAAATGTTTTGAGAATGTATCCCTTTAAAGAAATGCATGTGCACAATCAGTTTAAAGCTTTTTTACATCACAGTATGATATTTTGCACCAAAGCATGATATTGCAGTGATATAAATTAGTTATCAGTTGAACACAATAAAACTCAGCACCCTTTAATGGCTAATGACCCGAAAACTACTTAACAAATTTTTGTAATATTTGAACACAATGAAGCTAATTGAATTATTTATTTCAATAATTTTTTACATTTTTTATCGAACGCTTAGATAGAAATCAAATATCTTTGCAAGTACTTGACATCATCTGCTGGATCTTGCTTTGAGTTTTTCGAGGCAACTATCCATTTTTTCTTGAAATCTTTTTTATTTGTAGCTAATTTCTTGCTTTTCAATAAGATTTCTTTTATAATTGACCAATAACTTTCAATAATAAACTCAATGCCATTTTGTTCATACTACTCTAGAGACTCTTGAAATAGTGAATTGAAGCCAAATCAAATCAAATCAGGCCAAAATATTGTGGGCATTTCATGCATTTTAATAAGTGGCAAAAGGTGTTTCTTAAAGCATTTTTTTATATATAAATCTGCAATCAAAGATTTACAAGTAATTTATGGCGTACTTTTTAACCCACAGGAGCAAATTGCTTGCTATATAAGGAACTTGGGAGCAAATTTTTCAGTTTGAATATATTTTAATTTTTTGGCAACATATCTACCTTTGGACTGATAAAATATTGCTACCCTGACAATTGTGTCCATTTGCAGTAAGGTCCATTTTGCAATAAGTATCATCCCCTTCAATTGTGTCCATTTGCAAAAAAGTCCATTTTGCAATAAGTATCATCGCCTTCAATTATGCACAAGTTTTCTCAGTTTGAAAGTTTACATAGCTTTTTTGAACAATGAATTGCTTTAATTTCTCCAACAATGGATCGCTTTGGAGTTTTTATGATGTACTTTATATTTTTGAGATCTAAGTACTTTTCCTAACAAAGCTTGTTCCTATCAGGCCGTGTCACCATACACTTCAGATTTTGCAAATTTTTATACAGTTGAGAGTATTTTGTAAAATAAGAATTCCTTGAAAATTTTAGCCTCTAGCTCCAAGAAGATCCTTAAATACGACCATTTTACTTTTAGCAGATATTGGTCAGGCCTCTATTGTCCCCTCAGAATTGTAACATTTATTTGAAGGTTTCAAATCACATAACTTTAAAAATATTTGATCTTTTTACTTAAAAATTTTAACCTGGCTATTTCAGGGGTGAAGAATTTAACAAAATAATCAGAAATATAAAAAGTTATTATTAAAGGGATCTGAGACATGGTGTGTTCATATTAAAGAAAATGATAAAAAAATGTTTGCGCTAAATTTTTTTTATTAAAACAAAAGAATAAATGCATACCAAGAAAAACTAACTTTTTTGTTATAATCGAAGTTTCTCCATTTTGTTGAAGGTCAAAAATCTTAATAGTATACTCAGAATACTTGATTATTTATTTAAGCGCCTTTTTATATCTATGAGTTTTAGTACATGACGTCATTGATTTGTTTGTTAACAAATCAATTATGTCATCAACAAAAAAATCAATGACGCCATGTGATAAACTCATAGGAATAAAACGCACTTGAATAAATTATCAAGTTCATTGAATGTGGCGTATATTATGAAGACTTTTTGGCCTTTTTTGGTTTTGATCATTCAATGATCTTATTTAAATATATTTTAAGAAAGTTATGCCAAAAAATTACTAAAATCATTATTTTAACTGATATTTAATTCTAAAATGTTAACATCGAGTTGTAGTCGTTGACATTTTAAAAATTTCTGGTTCATTTGACATGGAATTACCCAGAAGCAAGCTGTTCTGATTAAATAATCAAAGTATTCAAATTTAGAAAACAGGTTGTCTTGATTAGAGTAAAATTGTGCCTTGACAAAACTGAATTTATTTCTATTAACAGTACAATCATATTATGATACTGACGTATCATATTATCATACTGTCATTAAAAGTATTGTAGGGTTGTGTAATCAAATCATAAATGTTTTCATAGTTTAACCATTTAAAAAATATGGTTAAACTATGGTTAAAAAATATTTATTCTTTAGGTATTAAAGTTTGTATAAATACAAAGGGTATTGCATACCAAAAAAAAGTAAAATGGTTAACAAACAAAAAGACTAAAAGATTTTTTGTTAATATTTAAAAATTTTTTGTTAGTTTAACTAACTTGAAACTTATTTTCTAATGTTTATATATGAAATAAACACAACTTGTCTTGGCACTTAGATAATACTTTATTAAAAAAATTCAACTTGATCTAATTGTGTTTGAGTTTTGACATCTTTTGTTAAATGTTTTAAAAGTCACTTTCTCGCAAATGGAAGTTAGACAAACAAATTTATGACCCTTGACAATTGACAAAAATACTCAGTCATTTTTTACAAATTTTAAATAGTTAAAAACTGTGTTCAAAATCAGCCAAATCTCTTTAGAAAGCTTGATGATGTGGTTTGACTGATTTTTTTACATTCCGATTATTTTTCAACATATTTTTTTCTGCTTAGATAATATCAATGAGAATAAACACCAAAGCATTGAAAACAACAATACTTTTAACCGGAAAACTAAATTTTTATCACTCTTAAATTTTTTAAGATTTAAAAAGTTAAATTTTTTTTTTAAACTTTTTAAGTTAAATTTTTACAATTTAATTTTAATATTCTTAGTCATTTCTTTATTTTTATAGTTTAATTATCAATTTAAATAAATCAGATTCCTTTTTTTCTTCTTGTTTTCCTCTTCTTTTTCTTTTTCTTCTTTTTCTACTTCTTCATTTTATTCTTGTTCTTTTTATTGTTATAATTATCATTTAGGTTTAAAATAAATTTTGTAGGCATAAAATGCCTTTCAACCTAGTTATGTAAAAGTTAACGTCAAAACTTATAAAAACAAAAAAGAAAAAAGAAATGTCAATATAAAGATGATATAATACCAATATGGTAATTATATAACTACATATATAATAATTTAAACATGAACAAGTAACACGACCAAACATGAACAAGTAACACGACTAAACGTGATATAAGTTAATATATCTTTAAAAAAAAATCTAATTCGTAATTTTAAAACTAAATTATTAAAAAAATACTATTTAAACTAGTTTGAAATGGTTTTAAAAACTTACAGCACCAGTTTCATCTTTTTGAGAGGATATCCTTCCACTTAATAGACTAAAATAGAAATCAATTTAATTTTTTTTTTTAATTTCAAATAACTTATTTTATACAAATATTACTTAAACATGCACTTGAATTCAATTAAACAAATAGGTAGAGACAGTGAACAAACAGTTTTAAAATATAGTATTTATTTCAATATATAGTTGGGCTTACCATAATTTTGAAGTTGTAAACTAAGACACGCAGGAGGGGGGGGGGTTGTTTAGAAAGAGGTATTGGTGTATGTGTGTGAAGGGGTGGGGGGTGTCGCAAAATGCTGAAATAAATGACCAGGTGGGGGAGAAATATAGTGTTTTTTTGTGCTTCAAAGAACATGGCACCCTGTAATTAGGTTTCATGAAGACTTAATATAAAAAAGGAAGAGCTTCATTGCTCAGTTGCTGAAGGGATCTAAAGCAAAGAAACAACACCAAAATATTTTTGTATTATTTGTTAAATCTAACAAAAGAAATATGAGAAAACAACTATTCACTCTTTTTATATGAGTTATACTTTTCAGTAAAATGTACTTTTTCAAGTTATAATTTTTTAAAATTTTTTCATAAAAAAGTGAGCATGTAAAAATTTTCATGTAGCATGTAATGCTAAAGTTCAACTTGCAGTAAAGCAATGCACAAACTCCTTCTAAAGACCTCAGTCATCTGAACAAATATTTTTTATGATTAAAAAAATACGCTCTACAGGTGCAGATATTCCTGGCAAACACTAAATGTATTGAATAACTTTTACCAGATTAGGTACACCAATGTCTTTTTATTGAAATGCTTGAATAATTGAATCCATTTATCAACATAAGTGATTTGGATTTTCAATGAACTCCATTCTTCTTTTTTTGATTCAAAAAATGTTTTTGTACTTGACATTTCATCAAAAAGACTGTCAATATAAATTTTTTGTTGATCATCTGAACCATGAATATTGTTTACAATTTCAGCAGATTGTTCAATACCCTCACCAAACTATTTTCCCACAGTTCAATATAAGAGATACATTGTTTATAAAAAAAATTTAAATCTGCTATAAATGTATTAACACCCTGGGCACTAAATTTTCTAAGCAACTGTTTTGTTCCTTGTGGGACATAATTACTATTCATTTTTTTTCCTCAAGATTAGATTTAATTTTTTTAGTTCCAAAATGAACATTTTATTGCTTTGTTGTATATGTTATAGCATTGTTGCATTTTACTGACTTTTTTCCATAACTAATACAGTTTTGTTAAAATTATTTAGCTGAACATGTACAAACCAGAAATATAACTCACCTGTTTCACTTTCAAATAATATTTCAAAATGGTTGCAAAGCATGTGGACAATTTTCTTTAGAAACAAAGTAGGACTTCAGGGCCTCAAACATAAACAAAATTCTTTCAACTGCGGTTAACAGAGAAAGAAATCTAGTACTTCCATGCTGGATTATTGTTCTATATTCCACATTTACAAAATCATAAAATTCCTTTAACTCAGTTACTCGAACTGTATAAACATGAAAATACATATATATTTTCACAGCAAGAGCTTCAAGTGTGGAAGACCATCCACAGCAGATTGAAGTTTATTGTGCACAATATCTGCACCACAATCAATGCCAACAATATTAACTCCAAGTTCTTGTTTAAGTTGTAAATGTTATTTTTACCTTTTCTATGTACTCTACCAAAATTTTTGTTGCAATTGTTAGAACAAAAAACAGCTACTTTTTATTAACTTAATGACGCTGTAATGTTGAAATCAACTTTTCAGTCAATACTTTAGATGTTTCACCATCAGCAGATTCAAAATCCAGAAGTTTTACTTTAACACCTTCCAGTGATAAAAAGAACCTAACAACAACTGGTGATAGTTTTACTTCTCTTCTATTTGATGTGTCATTAAAACACTTACATGTGTGTAATGTGTCTTTTGTGAGTCGTCATGTAACTCTTTTACAGATAAAGGTGTCAGAACATTTACAACTATTGCTTGACATTTGGTTCTTGCAGCACCAAATTTCAGTTCAAAAAAACTTTGAGACCTGTTTTGAACTAAAGTCAGATGTTGAAGCTCAAATCATGCATTGTTGTGTGAATAGCAAACATACCCTCCTTTGCTACAATAACTAAATCACCTTTATTGAATTTATCATTTTTAAAAGATCCTTTAATAAATGAAGTACAAACTCCAGCTACACATACACTAATAAAATCAACGGTCAGCATTATTCAAGATGATTCCAAAATAAGACTTTTTTTTTGGTTATTTAGGTGCCCCAGGAAGACCCAATGGTCTTGTCACAGAGCACCGCAGATGTGCATTTAACCGGGAAGGTCACGCCTCCTTTCTTACCGTGATGCGAAAATATCCAGAGCTCCTTGCAAACCTGGATCTCCTGCTTATAAAGCAAGCACTGTAACCACTGCGCCACGGCTGCACTTTGAATTCCTGATAAAAAGCAGACCTAGAAAGTAATTGTTAGAACTTGTATTAGAATCAAAATAATATGATTTTTGTTGTCTGCTTTTTTTCCAAATTCAAAATCATGAATTTTGTTTGGGACAAAATGAAACAAAAATTCATTTTTTCTGAAAACAGGACAAAACGAAAACTGTTGGGATGCTAGGACAAATGACATAATACCGGGACAATCCTGGTCAAAACGAGACGTATGGAAAGCCTATATATAGTACTAATTCATGTACAATAAAACTTGTAAATGAAACTTAAGTTTTAAAAAATTACATTGTACCATGAAAAAAATGAATCTTGTATCCAAGTCAAAGTTGAACGTGAAGTTGAAAACCTAAAATAAAAATATAAGTATTCAAAAAAATTAATGCAGTTATATAAAAAGTATAAACAAAACCTGTTAACAATATAATTTTATTTGTATAAACAAAGTATGTTTTAACATTAACAAGAAAATACACAACACTAATTCTTACAGAACAAAATTTGATTGTTAAGCATGCAATAGTTTTAATGTGTTAAATAGTCTTTGTTTTAACCTAGGTTTTTGTTGTAGTTGTTTTGTTTGTTTTTTTGTTGCAACTTTTTGCAAAATAATCAATAAACTTACTCTACATTTTATGATCATTAAAACATTGTTTACAATAACTTTCTGAAAACCAATTGTAAATCTTATGAAACTCATAAGATAAACAAAATTATCATGTAACAGCAAAAATGCCATGTTATCAATTTTACCCAATATTTTCAGTACATAGATTATGATAAATGCAAAAGAATTTCTTGATAATGTTACTTGTGGAAAAATTGTTTTATTTACACATCTTAAAAAAGACCTATAAAAAATTTGTATTTTATGTTTATGCCAAATAAAACTATGTTTTATGTTTAAGCTTCATAAGTGTGACTAAGTTAATTAAAAACACCATCTAAACGAATATATTAAAGTATTATTTCAAAAGAAAATTTATATTTAAATATAGTTATTTTATAGTAAATTTAAATTTAAATTTTCTGTAAAATAACTATATTTAAAACCAAAAAAAAACAACAAAGCAAGTGTAACATTGTAAAACAGTTTATCAAAAAATAATAAGCGACCATTATGTTTAATATCAAAATCATGAGTCTAAAAGACTTGTGGTCTGCCTTGGCACCTCTTATATTTTACATGGTTCTTTTTCTGTTAAACATTTTTTAATAAAATTTTTTAATAAAAAGATTTTGTAGTTATTCAGTTTTACTACCTTACCAACATAACTTATTACACTCAAAAAGATACAACTACACATTCATACATATTGGGTTGGCTAAATCAGAAAGAACATTTGGTTTAGCCAACTATTTAGTTATTGGCAGCACTGACCCTAGTAACTAAGGAAGAAATTTGAATGAACTTCTTAGCAGATTCAAAAACAGAGGCTACTTGCATTTTACCAAGCTTTTAACTTTCTACTTTATGCACTTGTCCAGCCTTCATTTCCTCCATAACATAACTAACTTTCTAATTTAAATATTTTTCTACTTTGATTAACTCAATAATAATTTTAAAGGTCAACTAGCCCTTGAATCAAAGGTCATACTAGCCCTTGAATCAAAGCAACTTGTTTCCATTATAGGAAAATTGCAATTTGCAATGACTGCGATGCACACAAAATTTTTTAACATTTTAATGATAATAACATATAATTACCAGAAATCGGTAGGAAAATTTACATCCAAGATGTATGTTTGAACATATCACAATAAAAATAAAAAAAAACTTAATACAGTTTTCATTCCCATAATAAGCTTGCATTGTATCATGAGTTGATTCATAAATAAATATATATAAACATGTAGATATATTACAAAATAACCTTTTACCACCAACATTTAAATGTATTATTTCAGCATCAGAGGATGGCATACTTATGTAATTCTTTATTTCTAAAACAAAAATGTTTATAACAAATTATATTAGTAATATTCAGCATGAATATTAAAAATAAAAATATTTAGCACATTATTAATATTTTTATTTAGAATATTAGAATATTTAGAATAATATTTAGCTTGTGCTTATGTTTGTATATTAAAAATTCTATTAGAAATTTATATAATTTAGTATAAAAGTAATAACTTGATTAAAAAAAATTTTTTTACATAATAAATTGTTTAGAAAAATTTCCAATTCACGATATTCTATTGCAGTATAACAATAATAAAATTTTTTTTTTTCCGACTCAAGGGCCTTAAATGTTCACAAAATTTTGTCTTTTTTAAATTTACAATAGGTTTTAAATTTAAACTTTTTTATTATTAGAACATTCTTGTTCTTTATTAAAAGAAATCGTGAGAAAATAAGTGAATTTTATAAACTTATTAAAATTATTGCTTAGCTAGTGCTAGCTAAAAAAATTAAGATGCGCTTTTGATAAAAAATTTTAAATCAAAATTTACCGCATTTGGATTAAATTGTTCTTGTTACAATTTTAATTTTAAATCTTAGTGTTACTTTGTTACAATCGTAAATTAAATGAAAGATCGAATAAATAATAAAATTTTGATAATATAAATATCGCAACTGTTTTTTAAAACTTTAGAGTTCTTTCATTTTTACAAAATGAATTTTATAATACAGATTAGGGGTCGTCCATAAAGTATGTCACGCTATTTTTTTCAATTTTCAACCCCCTCCCCCCCTCCTGTCACAAACTGTCACATATTTCTGCACCCCCCCCCTAAAAAAGTATGTCACATGTTTCTCCCCCCCCCCCCTCCCTCTAAAAAAAAAACAAACCATTACGGAATTTTCAACATTCTAAAAACATAGTAATAGCTATTTAACAGAATAAAAAAGACTCAATTTAACTAATTTGAAATACCTTCTTAATTTATTGGGAAAGATTGTCATCATAAAATAAAATAAAAATAGTTTTTTTATTTGAACCTTATGTTTTTCAAATTACAAATTAAACTTACTCCTTATAAATACTCCTTTAATTGAATGAGTAAATAAGTAGAAAATAATCATGATAAATAATTTTTGTGATGTCACATTCGTCAAACTCCCCCTCCCCCCTTGTCACAAATTGTCACAAACTTATGCCTCCCCCCCCCCCCCTAGTAGCGTGACGTACTTTATGGATGACCCCTTATTAATAAATAAATAGAAATTTTTTACGAAAGAAATCCGTTTCCTGTATATAATAATAAGAACTTCTTTTTTATTAAGTTTTTTATTACTATATTTTATTAAATCCTTGTTATTTTTTTTATTTTTTCATTTTATCATTTATTGGTAAAGTCAGGACAACGCATAAACAATAATGAAAAAAGCACGATTAACGTTGAAAATACTAATAATACCAAGGTTTTAGCAACATTTCTTGTAGCACGTAAAGTTAAAATAAGTTGTAAAGCATCAAAACAGCATCGTACTAACTAATTTTTCTTTTTTATGGTATTTCCAGTTTGGTATCGCCTCAAAAGATAGCTAATTCTTAAATCAACCAGATTCAGAAAGAAGTTTGGTATCGATCAAGAAGTTTGGTATCGCATCGAAAGATAGGTATTTATCAAGCAAATTACCCACAGTTTTTGGTCTTTAATTTTTTTGGGGGACGCGCATATTGCGTTTAGGGGTCTTCTATAAATTACGTAACGCTTTAAGGAGGGGGGGGGGGGAGGAAAGTAGTTTTGTGACGACTCATATAAAACTTGCTTTTTAAGTATTACGATTTTGTTACGAGGATCGGGGTGGCGGGTCAAAAACGGGGGTCAGGGCAATAACATCCGTTTTTGCCATGTATAATAACATCCGTTAAACAACATCCGAAATTTCATCGATGTATAATAACATCCGTGCAACAACATCCCAAATTTAATTAATGTATAATAACATCTGTGCAACAACATCCCAAATTTAATTAATGTATAATAACATCCGTGCAATAACATCCCAAATTTCATTGATGTATAATAACATCCGTGCAACTACATCTGTAGATTTTTCGGATGTAACTACATCCGAATTTTTTTTTTTTTTTTTTTAATGCATAATTTTAACCAGATGTAGTTACGCATCTGATTTTTTTCGGATGTAACTACATCCGCCAAAAAAAAATTATTGTAATGCATTATTTTAAGCATAATAATTTTTTTCTTTTTTTTAAATTATTTGATAGACTGCCTGCCCAAACCTAACCCTCAGTCGATGTAGCAGCACTCTGTTGCGAGTCAGACTGTTTGTCAGTAGATGTAGCAGCATTCCGTTGCGAGTCAGGCTATTTGTCAGTCGATGTAGCAGCACTTATATAATATAATAATTATATATGTAACTTATAAATGTAACTACATCCGGAATTTTTTTTTAATAATGCATTGTTTTAACCAGATATTGTTACACATCTGATTTTTTCGGATGTAACTTCGTCCGAAAATTTATTTTATTTAATAATGTATTATTTTAGGCGGATGTAGTTACACATTGAGAAAAACTCTCGGATGTAGTTACATCTTTCTAAAGATGTTATTAGACATCGATGAAATTTCGGATGTTGTTGCACAGATGTTAATTCAGTAAAGAAAAAAAGCGGATGATCTTACACAAAATTGTGCGGATGTTATTTCACTACTCCAAGGATGTTGTTGGACAGATGTAGTAATCTTTTCCCAAAAATGGTCGAAAATTGCGTGACGTGGTTTATAGAAGACCCCTTAATTATTATATTTTTCATACATAAACTAGACAATGGGTACAAAGGTTTGGTTCAAATTTCTCTCCATTTTGGTTCTTTGGACGTCTCACGGGGACAACTTATTGAGTTCTCTACGTAATAGAAAAATGCGAATTCTGCGACAAAATTTTTGTTCTAGAAATTATGGTTGTGTTGCAAGTTAACATTTTAGGTTTTTTCCTATAAATTATGGTTGTGTTATAAGTTAACATTTTGGTTGTTGGGGTCTGAACAATTATAAATAAAAAATTTTATAATGTAATTATTTAGTTACATAATATACAATTTTATTATTTTTTATATAAATATGGATCTAAAATTTTATTTCAAGCGTAATAGTAAACATGTCCAAAATATAAATAAAAACTTCTAAATTGACCATTCTTCGTTTAGACTCTTATGGGAAACTGGGGTAAAATGGGGTAGTGGGGCAAAATGGGGTTTTGAAAATACACCCCATTCAGAGCCTCAGAGCATCGAAAAAATATTAGAAATATCTTTATAAAAGTCTTCTGTTTTTATTTCATATGCTAATGAATCTGTATCTGTGAATAATAGTTTTGCTTTATCCGAATATTTATATTTTATATAATCATAGTGAAATTCATACATTAGTGCCTTATTTAAATCTAAGATGTACATACCCAAATAAATGGGTTTGTTATAATGTAATTTTTTTCCTTTTCATATGGATTGCTATCAAGTTTTCATCAAATATTGTTCTACTTTCATAGTTGGGTTTAGATACTAATTTAACAGCTTCATCTCTGTGTGTTACTAATCTAACATCAACTCTGTTTTCAATACTCTCCATTGTTTTTCCAAATACTAAATTATTCATGAGGTTAAAAAAATCTTTTTCAAAATCATTAGTAGCTTTATAAAGCTACTAATGATTTTGAAAAAGATTTTTTTAAAGAACTAAAAAAAGAAAAAATAACTAAATTTAGTTCTTAGATTTGTATTTAGTTCCAGTTTATTTAATTTCCAGTTTTTCAACTCATTTTCATTCATCCCCTCAAATCCATGTGTAGGAAGTGGTTCACTCATAGCCATTGTGTTTCAGAAAGTTTATCAATAGAGTCAACCCAATCATATGGATAAACACCTTTTAGTAATAAATTTAATTTTTTACCTGAATCTAAATTAGAAGGCATAAATCTATAACTATCCATAAGACAGAGTTCACGTTTAATTTCAACAACCTTATTATCTTTAGTATATTCACCAACTTTAATTTCTCTAGAAAAACTAGTTTTTGGAAATCTAATCAAAACATCTTTTTTGGAAATTTAATCAAATCACAAATCTTTTTAATATCTCTTTCTAACATGTCAACAAAAATCACAAACATGTCAACAAAAATTTGTGCAACATCATCAGTTTCACTACTTGCAGTAAATGTGACTAGACTGCTTTGATAAAAACTTTCGTCGAAACGTTTAATATGATAACGGAGCGAACTTGGAATATGTCTTTGATATTGTTTAGTATAAGAGTCATTTGGATTTGGTGAGCAAGTGTTGATTGGTTTAATAAAATTTTCAAAGTCGGCATATACTACAAACGGTACTCTCATAGATTTATTGTGATGATTAAATTTCATTGTTGAATTTGGTTTTGGAAGTTCAATACGTACTGAATTGTGTGTGTCACAATACAACTTATGCTTTGATAAAGGTTCTTCAGTATTAAATCCTAATAAATAATTTCTACAACAGTAGCACACCGATGTTAAGATGTTTGTAAAGAAAGTTTTATTAAACAATAAACTTTTTTTTTTTTTTTTTATTAAACTTTTTATTAAACAATAATGATTAGTAGTTTCAATTAAAATCTTTTAATCATTTAAAGTCATTTAATGTTTGACTTTTGTCAAGTCTTTTTTTAATATTGACAGTTTTTATTATTATATATTCTTAAAGGATAACTGATGAATTCTCATATCTAAATACATTTGCACTTATATCTTGATTATTTTTCTCAAATATTTTAATCTGATTTAATAATACGGGAAAGTCTATTTTATCCCATTTTATTTTTTCAGCTTGTTCTTTAAGATATTTATCTATTCTTTCAGGATGACTATCTTTAAGATTTAATGCTTTAGTAACACACCACTTAAAGCACTCATTATCTTCATTTTTATATTAATTATTGCTTTTTTAGTTGATAGATTTTTATTTAGTGGAATATATGATTTAGCAAGTAGAGGTTTATAATCAATAATATTTGTATCCATCTTTTTAACAGAAACAAATCTCCAACTTGATCCCAACTGTTGAAATCATGATAATAATTCCAAAATTTTCTGCTCAGCTCTTGTATATAATTCTTTCAAATCTGTTGATTCTTATATAACTTCTGATTTTGTTGCAAATGTAGCAGTTGTTGTAACACTTACTCCTGTTTTAATATCAATACGCTCCCTTTCACAAGAAAGAACTATATAGATTTTCGATCATTTATTACCATTTAGTATTTTAATTGCACTGTTTTTTAGCTAATTTCATAAATCATAAAGCATCAGATCCTGTAACACCTTTAGCCATAAATTGATTTTTTACATTTCTAATTGATGACTGTGTTAATTTTAATTTTACTTGTTTTCTTTCCACTTGTTTTTTTTTCACTTGTTTTCTTTCCACTTGTTTTCTTTCCACTTGTTTTCTTTACACTTGTTTTCTTTCCACTTGTTTTCTTTCCACTTGTTTTCTTTACACTTGTTTTCTTTCCACTTGTTTTCTTTCCACTTGTTTTCTTTACACTTGTTTTCTTTCCACTTGTTTTCTTTCCACTTGTTTTCTTTCCACTTGTTTTCTTTCTTGTTTTTTTAATCCAATTTTTTTGTACAAATTAGAGGCTGTTCTTTTGATTGGCTCTGGAATATATGACACAGCCAATTCTGCAATAGAATTAGCTGTTCTTTTAATTAGTTCAGGAACATATGACATAAACAATTTTTAATAGAACTATTCTCCAATTTTTTATATACAAGATTTTTTTAATATTATTTCATTTCGTATTATTTCATATTTTTTTTACATAATTTTTTGTAATAAAAAAAATCTTGTTATATTTAAAAATCGTTACAAAAAAATATAAAGATTTTATTCTTTATTTTCTTCTTATTTAAAATTTTCTTAGAATTTAATACTTCGACTTGAATACCATCCTCAACTTTTCCATTACGTGATTTGATACACCTCCATCCATGATGTGTCTCCTTCATATATTTGCATAATGATTTATATATTACAACTTCTCCTGTTTCAATGTTAGTTAATTTAATAAACACTGGATCTCTTTTAATTGTTCTTAATCTTTCATATTTTGGATCTATATATTCTTTTTTTTCTTTTATTGGATGAATTCTTGGTCTCCCATCTGATTTTTTTCTCCTTCTATTTTATCTTTTTTAACTCTTTTAACTCTTTCTTTTATTGGATATATTCTAGGTTTTCCAACTGGTCTTTATTATGTACATCTGATAATGCAGACTCAAGTAGCCCATTATCCATAGCATTACTAAGGAAATAAGATTGATAGATGTTTTTGAAATGTTGTTTTCTTTAAAAAGATTTATTAAATATTTCTTTGTACTTTTTCAGTTTTTTATTATATAAAGAAAAACATTTAAATTATTTTCAAATAATTTAAAATTATTGTATTTTTTTAATTATAATATGAAAATCTTATGGAGTTTCAGCTTATTCTGATTCATTTTCTACTTGATCTGCTTTCCCTTTCTACTTTTCTTTTTTCTCTTTTTCTTTGTTCTCTTTCTTGTTCTAATAAACTTTCTTCTAGTTCATCTCTAGTATAAAATCTTATGGAAAGAATAAGTCTTCATCTCTTTCTAATTCGTCTTCATCTCTTTCTGATTCGTCTTCACCTCTTAATGATTCTTCTTCATCTCTTTCACTTTGTTTTCTTTCATTTTTTTGTTCTTCTATTTTTCCGCGTCTTATATTTCTTAGTTGACTTTATTCTTCTAATTTTTCTGCTGTTTCTGCAAGTCATCTTTCTTCTGCTAGTCGTATCCTTTCTTCGTGCACTTGTCTTGGTTTTCTTAGATGTCTTGAACATACATATCCTAGTTCTATTACTAATTATTTCTCAGCTATTAACTTATTATCAATAGCAATCTTTACTAATGCTTTGAGATTTTATTGTTCAGAGGTACTAAAAAAGACAATATTTTCTTGTAATGTCATAGTTATATCTTTTCGACTATATCCTCTTTTTATTAAATTATGATATTCCATTTTATTATATTAAGAAATTGATTTAACTCATTTCAAAAAGATGTTATTTATTTTACTTTTTTTCTTGTTATTTATCAATTTAATAATATACAATGTTCATTCTATTTCCATCTGATTGAAATTGTAACATTCTATTAGAAATTACAACAGCAAATGCTTCAGTGTCTGCTGGAACAGCTGCATTAAATGTTGCTTTAATTTGAACATCTACTACTGATGATTTTAATCTTTTTGATTGTTCACTCACGTCAAAATCCATAAGTGGGTATAAATCGTTATAGTCTGAGGGAGTTATGTTGCTTTGTGTGATCAATTCATTCATTCCATAAAATTTTTCACTAAACACAGATGCTTCTCGATAAGCTCTTGAAAATTGTTGATTTGGTAACAATAAATTATAATCAACAGCAGGATATCTTTCCTGATTAAGCATAATGTACATATTTTTCAAAACACAATTATCAAATATTGAAGAATTAGGTTCTTGGTTTCTATCTTTATTTGTTTGTAATCCAACAACTATATATCTTGGTTTTTCAGTAGATGTTTTTACACTCAGTCTCCAAGAAAATATAGTAGATTGTAGAACAATTGTCGTATCACACTGTCGTAAATGAAAAGTTACTGGAAGTGTCACTTTTGATTCAATAGCTTTATAAAGATTATTTCTTTCTATATCTGATGGAATCACATGTGATATAAACAATGATATTTTATCAAGATTAACTTTTCCTGTAGCTACAGCAGCAACTCTAAAAATTGCATCATCGTCACTTTTTCTAACTTTTAGTTAGTGTATATTTAAATCCATAAATAACTTTGCTGTAATCATCACAGAATCCAAAAATGTACTTTAGAGGTATACTAAATTAAAATGTTCCTTTTGTATTTGGTTTCTGAACTATGTAAACTTGTCTTACTGCAAATCCTGCGTTATCAGCAAGTACTGCTGATGTTGCAGAATCTTTATACCACAATTGATTTAATCCTTGTGCTAATTTAAAGTCGTTAGGGTATTTGAGCATTCCTAGCATTGTAGTTGCTTGACCTAGATAATAAACTGATTCTACTTCTTGGTTTGATAATTGGTATGTTATTTGACTAAATAAGTGCATAATACCATTGTTTGTAAGTGAAACTGCATCTGCATTAGCATAAGCTATTCCATCAGCTTTAAGAAGTCTTCCTTCAAACAAGAGAAAAGCCTCAGATGGAAGTGTGATTTGTACGAGCTACTGGCTCATATTCATAGAACTCATATCTTTCAATCCCTTTATCTATAATTGGGATTTCTGTAAAATTAAATACGTCAGAAGTTGTCATTCCTTTTTATTATAAACAAGATAATTTTTTTTTATATCATTTATAAAAAAAATATGTAATGAAATATGGATTTTTGAGCCAAAAATTATGCTAATCTAAGACTGCGTCCTTTTTTAACTAAATCTTTGAAATTTATTTTGTAGATTTTATTGCCGATCCCATTTTAATTTATTTATATTTGTAGTTACTTAATCAGATCCACTATTTAGATCTTTAGATCCAGATTTAATAAAGTTTGTAAGTATTTTACTTACTTTTTTGTGAAAGTTCTTTATTTAATGCTATATTAGATGCTCGTTGAATAAATTCTTTTCCTTTGTCTACTGCCAAGGCCGGCGCGATAGAGGGGTGTGGGGGTGTGACACCCCCTCCCCCATCAATGATTTTTAGTCGACAAATTTGACCCTTAGTTGGCAAATTAGACCCTTTTAGACTAGTTAGTCGGCAAATGTCGACCTTTTCGCTATAGGTTAGTCGGTAATCTAAACAGTCGGCAAAATGTCGTCATGGCAGTCGGCAAATTTTGGAAAGCGAGGACCTTTTGTTTTTTTTTTTTGTTTTTTTAGTCGGCAAAATGTAATGGCACCCCCCACCCCACCCCACGTGACACCTACTCGCGCCGGCCCTGTCTACTGCAACATATTGGAGTTTTTCCTAAATCACTAGCAGCTAATCTATTTAGCATAGTTAATGATACTATTGTTACATTTGATGCTGCTGCTCGTTTAAATAAATTTTTAACAGTATCAAATATTCCACTTCCACCAATAACATGTTTCTTCACATATCTCTTGTTCTGTACAATTAACATTTTATTTACTATATATATATTTTTAATTTATTTCTAAATTGTTCTGTATTTCTTTATACTTTTCATCACTTATCACGTATTGCCGTTATAATTCATCACAAACTGCAACAGCTTCATTTCTCGCTCCAGTTTTACCTGCTTTTCATGCAGCTATGCGTAATGTAAGCATTTCAATTAGCATCTGGATCACTAGGAAGAATTATAGTTTTTAGGAGACTCGGCGTTAATCCTGTTCCTATTAATTAAGGTTTTTTCTTTAATTCCCTTCAAACTGGTGCTATTATTTCTTTGTATTTTTTACTTCTAGATGATTTTGGTTTTTCAGGGTTGGCATCAGAAGGAATTGTATTAGTTTGTATTAATATATTTTCATAATCCTTAAGATTATCTATATCTTTATCAGGGCTATCTTTGGTTATCAACTCCCAAAGACCAGGAGTTCCAATGTATGTTTTTCCATCAATATTTATATCATTATTATTAATTAATATTGGTTTTTTTTTATAATTTATCATCTTTAGAATGTATTTCAAATCTAGTATCTGTTGACTTTTTACTAGTAGTATACATCCTTAGTTAATCTGTTGCAATTTTTCCCAACTTTTATGTTTTAATTTCACTATCAGGTGGCAGTATTTCTTTAGTATCAGTTCCAGGCATTATTCCAGGATAAAAAGTTGAAAAAATGAATGCTAAATTATTAGCTTTATCTTCTAATTTAGATAAGTTTTCTTTTATACCAGACTGACTATCAATTATTGGCTTGTACAATTTTGTTAAGTTAGTCTGTAAATTATAATCACTTAACTTTTCATCTAAAGAATTCTACTGTATTTTATCTTTAATTCTAGAAATTCATTAACTATTTGATCTCTTTTTTTAGGATCTGTAATTTTTAAAAATAACATTTTTTTAAATTAGTATTAGTAATTTAAAAACGTGTTTTATGTTTATAAATTAAACGGGATTACGTTCTTTATTAAACGTGTTTTGTGTTTTTATTAATCATATTTTGATTCTTATTAAACATTTTTTGGAATTTTTAATAGCTTCTTCTCTCCCTTGGTTAATTAACGATATCTTAGTTTGTTCATTAATTTCAATTTTAGCTTTTGTTCTAATTTGTTCAAGCATGACTTGAAATTTTTTAAGTTCTCTAAGTATCATTTCATATTCATTATCATCTATATTTCCATCTACTAAAGCTTTAGAAATATATTCACTTATTGTATTTAGTTTTGAATCAGCTAATACCTTAACCTTTTCATGTTTTTCTGCTTTTAAGTTTTAATTTTTTATTAACTTGTCCACCTATTAATGATAACACACCTGTTCCTAATGCTACACCATCACATGTAATAACTACTGGTGCTGCAATTATTGTTGTTAAAAAACCAATTCCAATAGTTCCAAATGCCAAAGTGTTTTCAAATAATGCATTATCAATTGTTGAAATTATTCTTACAGCTCTATGATACTTTTTACTTAACATAGCTTTCTTTTCTCTCTCGCGTTCTACTTCTTTTTGAATCTCGCTCATTTTCTGTAGACAATATACATGAGCTTGATTTTCAACTGGTGCAGTTGGAAAACCTGGATAAATATTTTTACATTCTATATTATTAAACTCTATTTTTTTTATAAAGAAATATATTTTATTAAATTAATTTCTAAATTTATAATATTTTAGTACTCTTAGATGAATTACTTGTAGATAATATAGTTTTCTTTTTAACAGCAATTACATCACCAGTAGTTATTAGATGTGAAAGTCCATTAAAGCATCAAACAAAGCAAAAACTTTCTCCTTTTTTAATTTTTATATTAGGTATATCATTTTTACAAATACTTACTCGATATTATCAACAGACTCTGCTACTACAGAATTTGGTAACCTTAACATAGGTTTAAAGTTTTCTTTTAGTGCAACTAATGCAAAACCTGTTCTGATTGTTATCTAGGTCACAATAAAATCTATTATAAAATTTTATTACAAATATTTGTGCAAATATTTCTCATCTTTTATTCATAAATACCGATAGATATTGTAAACCTTTATGTGGTTTAAAAAGTTCTGGAAAAGGTTCTACATTTTTAGGTTTGTTTATAAATTTATGCATTGAAACATTAAAAGCATTTTATATATATACAGATTTTTTTAAATCTTTTTAAACTACAATAAAAACACAATAGAAATTTACAATTGTCAATCTTATTAAAAAAATCTTTTCTGTATAAAATGTCATATGTAACAATTGAAAATTTTAATGAAACAAAATTGTTTTTAAAAGAAAAATTTAAAGCTGATAAGTCTGTACCTTATCAAAAAATAATAATTGGTTACAGATGTCCAACAGGTTATGGACCTTTATTAGTAAGAATGTTAAAAATGTTTTCATATTGCGTTTGTAAAAATAGAGATCTAAAAACTAATAAACTTACAGGATATTCAATTCCATTTGTTTGTTTTGATGAAATGAAAGGAAAAACTGAAAAAGAAGAAAGGTTTATTGCTATGATTAAAACTATTGAAGATTTTTGTCGAAAACAGATTAAAGTATATAATACAAAAATAAGACAGAGAGGAAGAAAAACACAAATTAATCCTGTAAATTTAAAAATCATAAGATATAATACAGAAAAACCTAATACACCTTCAGTCATTTATGCAAAACTATTTACAGAAAAAACAAAAAAGGATTTAGAAATAACTTCAGTTTTTTATTGACGAAAGACTGAAAAAGATGTTAAAAATGGATTGAAAGGAGAAAAAGAAAATAAAAAAATTGACTTCATTACATGATTATATTAAACAAAGATGTAATGTTATTAGTTGTTTAAAATTTGAAGGTGATTTTTTTGGATGTTAGAATCAATACAAATTATTTTGACAGAAGCAGTTGTTGTTAATATGATTTCAAGTTTTAATAGTATGATAGGAGAAAATTTAGATTTAGGAAATGATTCAGAAGATGAATCTGAAGAAGAATGTGAAGAAGATCTTTAGATCCAGATTTAATTTAAAATATTAAACAATTTTATATTAGCAAATAATGTAAAAAAAATTTTGTATATACAAAAATGCACATATTGAGAGGTGAAAGTACAAGTATGAAAAGTTTCAATTATTGAACTTAATAATGATAAAGAGTGTGAAATGGCTTTAGTTGGCTTAGAAAACTATCACAGTTTCCGAAACATTGATTCTTCAAACAATAATTTTAGATATAGTCCAAATAATGGAATGACTTATTTGATATTGCTGACATAAATAATTATATACATGAGATTATGCTCAATAATAGTGAAGTAAAAATAATATTACAGTTGGAGCAAATAATAGAACATTGAGATCAAATATAAATTTAGCAGAAGGATTTAAATTTGACTCTACACCACTAAATTCAGTTAGAACTGTTTTAGGTTTTAATAGTCAAGTATACTCATCAGGTAAACATGCATCAGAAACTATAGTAAATATATTACATATTTACACTATATGTGTAACAAATAGTATTATAGGAGGATCATGTGTAAATGGAGGAACTGATAACGTTATATATTCATTTTTCCCAAATGTTGCCCCTGGATTTAAGATTGTCAAAGATCCAAGAAACTTAATTTATTAAGTTTCTTGGATCAAGAAAAAAAATTTCACAAATAGAGACTAGATTAGTTGATCAAAATGAAAAACTGTT